TAGCAGCTTAGGGTTACAAACGCGCTCACTTGGACACAATGGCATCGACAGCGACCACCTCTTCACTCTCCGCTCCACCTCCTCCCAAAATATACGCAGCGCGATCCAAAGCTCCCATAAGAAGCGTCATACCTCACAAAATTGCGCTGGCCCTATTGACACCCAACAATGTGGGCCAATTGAGGAGGTTGAACTCTGTACTTTTCCCCGTCAGATTCTCGGATGGGTGGTACAAGGATGTGTTGCACAAAGATGTGGCTGCGATTTGCAAACTTGGTGAGTAGGCGCTCGAGGCAGAGGAATGGTTTGGGGGGACGAGCGGATGCAGAGGGGGAAGGATCGTGGGCAAAGTTCGAGAGAGAGAGAGGAGCATGGTCAGGCCCATCGTAGCGTTTGTTGGGTCAGATCAAGTCTGTTTAGCTCTTTGAGGACAAGGAGGAGACGTCCATTCGCTCAGCTTCTCGGCCCATCTCTTCGCGCCCCACAAACCATCGTCTGACACTCTCCTTCTGCTCCCCCGCCAATGTCGCCTTCCAGCGCTGTTCAATGACATTCCAGTGGGCAACATCTGTTGCAGGTACGAGCGAGAGGGAGGATCAGAAGTTAAGGTGTACATCATGACGTTGGGCGTATTGGCTCCTTACAGACGATTAGGCATCGCATCGGAGCTTCTGAGGCATCTGCTCACCGTGGCCGGAGTAGGCACATCCGTCTCCTTGCGCGATCCAAACGCGCCTGTTCCGAAAGCTCCATCCGCGTCCACAAACAGCAAGAGCAGCAACAGCAACAATGCTAATGCGGCTTCCAAAAGTTCAAAGGATTCCAAAACAACATCGGTCAAGACGGAAGAACCAAAGAGGGAAAGCCGAACGGTAAAGAGCCTGTACCTGCACGTTCAGACTTCAAACGACGAAGCAAAGGCATTCTACGAATCCCATGGTTTCCAGCACACCGGTACTGTGCAGGACTATTACAAGGTCGGGATCGAACCCAGGAGCGCTTGGGTATTGGAAAGACTTGGATAAATTCATGGCAGTGGATGACCAGGACGGTGAAGCAGAGCGACGAAGTTGATTTTGTGCACGCCACATTTTCGCACCTCTTCATGGAAGAAATGTACGAGTAACATGTCTTGGTGTGTCGCGAAAACGAGCACAGCGCTGGCAATCCCGTCGGACTACTTCTCAGCACGGCGCACCTTGTCCTAACACGTGGCTTGAGTGAACGCCTCCGCGCTTGGCATGTGAAGTCCGTTTCATCTGGTATTGGTGCGCTCCATCTCGCTAGTCCAAGTGGCCGGGGTGGATGCAACATCGGTACTGTTCAGCAGATTTTGGGGCAAAGGTTGCTCGTAAGAGATGCCACGCTCGTTCCACAAGGCTTCACGTTCACGCGCGAGCTCGACAGCCCAACATCGGACAAGAGGAGAGGTAATGTAGCCTATAGATCCTTGATAAAAGGGTTGCAGATCTGCGATGCTCTCAGCTAGATCGGAATGCAAATGAGCTGATCAGTAGAACCGTCGAAAGTCATCGCGCCACATAGCCAGCAACTCAAACTCACCTCGCTCATACTCGAGCGCTTGCAAGCAGAGCTCAAATCGATCTAGATCCTTGACCAACTTGGCTTCCTTGGTCGCTCGCGCTTCGTATTCTTGCCACAAGGCCATGAGACGCAAAGCAGCGGGGCTGGAACCGAGCAGATCGTGGACGAGGTACTCCATGGCCTGAGCTTCCCTCTTCGTCTTTTCGTCCTTATCGACGCCATCCAAAGGTGTGAGATCACCCACTTCCGCCTCGGCCATGTCGTGGACGAGCGCGAGCTGCACGCATTTACCGACGTCTACGTCCTGCGCAGGATTCAGCATTGCCAGCACCGCCATGCGGTACATGTGATCTGCGATGCTGTTTGGATGAGGTACGTCAAGGAAGACGAAGTGAGTTGCGAACTTGCAAGACGCAACCTTCCGTGTACACTAGACCGACCCACCTCTCAGGCCGGCTGATCCGGTGATGGTACCATCCAGTCCGTTTGTTGATTTTGAGACGCTCTAGACGATGCATGAACCCAAGCACTTTCGACCAGTCGCTTTCCATCTCCTCGCCAACTTCCCGCTCAGCAAAAGCGCCGTCCGCAGATACCTCGAAGAGGGACAACGGGCCGGGCTTATGCGTAGGATCTGGCTGCAGTCTGATCATGGTGCTTGTGGGCTGAGGTGGCGGGACGTAAGGAGGTCTAGGCGACCTTCTGCCCAAGGGCGTAGTTGCACCAGAGACAGGAGATGAGCCCGCAGCTCCGGCTTCCGACGCTTGGCCTCGCAGATAACTGCCCGGGTCCAGTAGTCGAGCACCTGATGGCGCACCATGCTGAGCGGGCTTTTGAGAAGTTGTTGAAGCTAGCGGATCCGCGTGCTGCGCTGAGCCCCGCGCTGGAGACACTTCGAAACCAGCTTTGAAGACGCTGTTCGGAAGACTGGGACTTTTACGCGCTAGTGAGTCATCGCTGGGTCGAATTGCAATGTTCTGCGCGGTGTTGCCAGCCCTCCCTGTGCCCGGCCGCACTGAAGACTGTTCGAGCTTGCCGCTCGACGGTTGCGAGCCAGACGTCTCTTGGCCGTCAGGGATGGTTGGCAATCTTGATGGCTTCTGGCGCGAAGGTGAAGTTACAACTCGGCGTTGAGCCTTGAGCAGAGACGGGGTCATCTTGCGCTCCTGGTATGGCAAGCTTGTCTTGGGCTATAGATGTAAAGTGTGGTTGGTGTCAGGCCCGCACGTTGAACAACACATGACCGCTCCTGCGAACACGCACCTCAAGATCGAAGCCTGAAGTCTCATCTCGTACGACGGTTGTAGAACCTCCGAAACGGTTGAAAGTGCTGAGGCCGGGAGGTGTGGCAATTCCTATGGGCACCGACCTCGCTAGCGCGGATGCATCGGGTGATGCGTTACGCGACTTCTTTTGCTCTTGATCGCGCACTGTCGTCGAATGCGAGTCGGGTAAGCTTCAGAGATGCGTAATTCTCTCTCGCGGCTCGTGACTCATTCTCACCTCTCGTCTGCCACGCAGCCCACTTGTCGTCATCTTCATCGTCTAGTTGGTACTTGCTGGTCTTTCGCTTCCGCTCCGTCGTCGACTTTCGAAGCCCGCGATGACTCGGCACGTTCGGCGCTAGCAAGCCAGAAAGTCTAGCCTCGGCCTCTCCGACCGCAACGCGGAATCCGATGGTGGTGCCTGGCGCTGCACGGGCACTCATGTTCTCGACAGGCCGCGATGGGGCTCTTGGCAGGGATGCACGTTGCGCAGAGTTGCGGGGTTGCTCCACCGGGCTAGCAAGAGCGTTGATGGCGCGATCTCGACTCTCTGCGCGCCTGGCCGCACTCGACGGAGGTACGACGCGACCGTCGATACGCAGTGATGCGGGATCAAAGCCGTCTCTGTTGACGTCAGAGGGATCGAACACCGAGTCTGACGCTTGTCCACTTCCCAATGTCTGGCGGCCTCGGCTTCGTTTGCGCGCATCCATGGATGCCGAAAGAGCTGAGAAGCTGCCCGCAGCCAAGACACCTACGGACGCAGGGTCGAATTTCTCGTCGGAGCTCAATGAGCTCACACGATCACGGTCATCCTCGGAGTCAGCGCCGTCTTCCGGAGTGCTTGATCCCACTTCCTGAGGCACCAAAGAATCAAGCTCCAGAGCTCGCTGACCCGCGCTCTGAATCTCTCCATCAGAGCCAATTGTCCCCTCATCGTCCTCATCTTCCCTGTCCTCCTTAATGAAGTCTTCGTCGATTTCGAACAGAGCTTCTGCTGGTAACGCCAAGCTGATCAGCGTCGAAACAAGGGGTGCTTGCGCTCCTTTCATAATGTTTGTGTGACTCACCACCTTGCTCGCCGCCATTTTGCAATCCAGCCGGAGCGACACACATCGTTGTTCCAGCATTCTCTTCCTCGCCATCGCTCTCCACCTTCGTTGAGGGAACTTCCACCGTAGTTGGTGCAAAAGCGACCTTCTTTTCTGTGACAGATGATGGGCCAGCACCCTTGCTCTCCTTGCCCTCACCTCCCATCAGACCGACGAGGGAGCCGGCTGCATCGGTTGCAATCTCGCTGTTGCGTCGGCTTCCCTTACGAGCGGATTTGAGGGGCGATTGAGGACCTCGCTTGGCGAATCGCCCCTCTGTTGGCCTGTCGGAAGTCGAAGTTTTGGCGGTGCTAGGCAGAGCCGATGCCGCTCCCGGCGCAGGCTCTTGCTTAGCGCGTTGGCTCGTAGAAGATGGCGCTGTCTCTAGGCCAACGCTCGGCCTCGACTTTTGACTAATGCCTCCCAAGACGGCCGGAGTGATGGGCACGGGCTGGGGGCTCACACTGGGAGGTTTGTTCGCTGCTCTCCGTCTACCTCTTCCTCTCTCATCGTCCTCTGACTCCGTTCGCGCTCGTCCGCGTCCAGCCTCTTCTCGCTCGTCCTCCGTCTTACGCTCATCCTCGCTTGTGGCGGTCGAATTCGCCGCGCTAGTTGCAGCGCTTGTGAGCGCAGAGTGATCTCCCTCTGGATACCTCTCCCGCAAGCGACGCTTCGCAGCCCACTCCTCCGTAGAGTTTGAAGAACGAGGCGGAAGATCTCTACCTCTCATCGCGAAAGATGCTGAAAGGGCAGAGATTGAGGTAGACAAGCTGGAGTGCGTTGCTCCGGGCCCGGATGATGTCATGCCTGCGCTCGTGCCAAAGCTACTGCCTAGTGGACCGCGTCTGCGCTCAAATACAGAGGAGGGCAAAGTGGGCTCAAGGTCAAGATCCTCGTCGGAAAAGCTTGGCGAGTCGTCGCGCAAGCGCGTGCCATTGCTAGGAATTTCCAGGGCACTCGACTGTCCACGCTTACTCGAACCCTGCTTGCGAGCAGTCCGAACAGTGTGAGGCAGAGATGTTTCGCCTCGTGGTGTTGCTACGTCGCTAGTACCACCGCTGGTAGAGCGCGTCATCCTCACGGGACTAGCAGCAGGTATAGGCAACGAGGCGGATCCGGCGAGCCTGCGAGCTGGTGAGCCGTTAGCGCGCGGCCCCACTTTGGATCGATCTAACAGGATAGTAGCCTCAGCTCTGAGGTGCTCGTGCAATTCCTCTAGCATGAAGCTCTTGGCCTGGATGAGAGCACGGATCTCTTCCTCAGCTTGTGCGTGCTGCGCCCGAATTGCGCGCTGAGCGGCTTCCTCGAGTTGTGTGATCAGGTTACTCGCAGAG